CATTAAGAGGCCTGATATGTTTTGCGTGGACTTAGTGGCGTCGTCGCCGTATTGGTGAGAGGCCAGGTGAAAATGAAAACGCGCGATGGACCAGAGTGAGAAAAGGGCCGGAAGGTCGACAAAGGACGACCCTTGGGGCGCGAATTTCACCCCCAAGCGCCCTGCCGTATCTCGGTGAATTCAATTCCACAACCCAATCGAACATTGTTAGGAAATATCTAATCGGCGGTGGCAATAGTATTTGGCGTCGCAGCTTTTATCCCCTTTTTCGCGGCGCCGAATATCAGGCTTTTACATGCCATGACGACAAACACGTGTGAAAGTTTTTATATAACTAAGCTGTATTTTTTATTTTTATAGTCTACCCTCTGAATCTGACACTTCAAGGCGACGAGAGGGAGGGGAGTATGCTTGAGGGAGGTGCAGATAGCGCGGTACGCCACGCCGTGTTAGCCTGTCTTATAGAGAAGATGTGGTTATTCGAAGAACTGATCCATCGTCGAGGGAGGGTGAAAGGACAGGGTACAATACCCTGTGTTAGCGTTTACACAACCCACTGTAATTAGTTCCCCCCCCCCCCCCCCGGTGGTTATAGTCAGATATTATATACGATTGAAGGGTTTCAGGTAATTGTAGAGTTTAGGTTGGATATATAGGACATAGAACATGTTAATTCACTTGTTGTCAAATTGTAAAATTTCTGACTATAAGAGTGTATCAACAAAGAGAACAAATGAAAAACGGTATTTAGACCTAATATAACAAAAAATTGTCAAAAATAACTCAGTTAGAATTGTGATCGGTGTTTGTTTACTGAAGTTTAGGTGAGGTGAAGTCTCGTGAATAAATCTACAACATAATATTAGATATAGACTTATGACAACTTAATAAGATACAGGTATTTTATCGTCGACCAGATCGTTTCGCAGGACATACAGTATTTAATTTTACTCTTTCTGTATATGTCGAGACACAATCTACTATGTGTTATCACACTTTTATTATTAGTGTAGAGACTAGAGAGCGAACTTACATAGAGTAGTTTATTTTAGGCAGTCTTAATGCGACGACCGCACAGTGTGTTTACAGGAGCGATTGTTTCTTTGGAGAGCACTAGAATTTCGACACAATGGCGCATTCATGCAGCTGGACCTCTCGGTCAACTTGCACTTACTTTTATGAGATAGAGAGCAAAATTATGAGAACCCTTCCATTTGTGATAAAAATTGTGTTACAACCAACGCTTTCGAAAATAAAACTTCGTTGGCGATATGTTTCTCATACACATGATGGAGAAGAACCACATATAAATACACCGCGAATGGGAAATTTTTGGACAGCAGTGACGATGGTACAACTTGTGGTAACGACAGACATATCTTGTCAGACACCTAACTTTGTATTATAACCATTGCCTTTGTCGGTAAATAAAACTTTGTAGCCAAGTAGGTTAGTATTTGTATAAAAGATATGGAGAAAGGACACAGCTCTGTACGTCTATCCAATCACAAATAAAACTATAAAAAACTCCTATAAGTGAAGCTGAAAAACTAGATAAAGTAACATTAGTTAGAGAGGAATTAGCTAACCAAGGTACTTAGTTCATTTTTATACTAGTTAAAACAATTAGGCCGATGGAAATTTGGTGGTAAACTGTACAAGTAGTATGATTGTGACAAGCTCGCCTCTCGCCTCGACGGGACATATAATCCTCTTTCAGCAACAACTTTGTATATAACCAGCCTTTTCGAAAATAAAACTTTGAAACCAGAAGTAGGTTTAGTGTTTGTACTAAATATAGCAGAAACAGACACAGAGTCTGCCTCTCCACGTCCTTATGGCCAATCAAAATAAGAACTTATAAAAAAACTCTATAAAACCTATAAAGAAACTCCTATAAGTCGAGCTGAAGACAACTACGCAAAGAAATAAACGTAAACAGTAACATTTAGTTAGAGAGGAATTACTAGTTCATTCCTTATAGCTAGTAAGAAAAAATTACGGCCGATGGGAAATTGCCCGTTGGTAAGAAAACTGCACAAGAGTAGTATGATGGGTACAACTGGCTGTGACGACAGGGATTAGTAAGTCCCTTCTAGAACAACTTTGTATATAACCATCCTTTTCGGTAAAAATAAAACTTTGTAACCAAGTAGGGTTGGTAGTAGTTGTATTACAGGCAGATGGAGAAACAGACACAGATCTGTAATCCCCCGGGTCTATCCAATCACAAAAAACAGTAACTACCTCCATAAAACCTAATTAAAGCTTAATCGTCTGAACAATTCTTTACGAGATAAGATTCTCGTTTATCCATCCGTTTTCGAAAATAAAACTTGACACAAACAGAGCCCTGTATAAAACCCATAGAAACTCTTATAAGTGACTGAAGGAATAGTGAAAAGTACACACTTAGTTAGAGAGCGCATATCAGCCTTACTAACCAACGGCGTACTGTGGTTTTTTTTTTTATACTACTGTAAGGAAGTTGGACAGAATGGAAAATTGGTTGCGTTAAACTGGGACAAAACTAAGATTTAGAATTAGAAAAGTAGACTTCCCGTAACAAGTGATGTTTTAATTGTGTTGTATATCAACGGATCACCAGACTGTGTAGCGTCTTATCACAACCCCAGAATAAAAGCAGAATAAAAAGGTTTTACAACACTGGGTATCAATTTGTTCAAGGGACAGCAGGACATAACATCGTTAAAGGATTAGAACCGTAGTCATCTATCTTGTACTCGTCCGCTTGGTTTACCGCGAGAGAGGATTTATGACAATCTTGTTATTTTTAGGTAGTTTTCCGTAGTCGTATAGTTGAGGGTCTTAGTTGACAGGAAGGGATTCATCGCGTCAAAAGTAAGTTTTTTAGATCACTTCAATTTCCGAAATACCCTTAATTAGACGTCTCTGTTATAATCCACTCGACAATCTCGTTTACAGTTAA